CAACCTGCAATAAAACATGAAAAATATATTCCTTTAAAGCGTAATATCACCAAAAATGAGTATAAAATATATATCTAAAAATGCATATATTTTTGGTGCATCAGCATGACCGCACCATATCTGGCAAAAGGGTTGTGTGACCTCGCCGACCCATTCAACACTTGGCATGACCATGCTGACGAGCGAAAAAAAAACTTAAGGAAATTTGATGGCCCAATCCGTCATTCTTGATAGAAAAGTATTTTAGGGCTTCATGGAGGGAATTTTGCATTAGAAGTCATTGAAGGCTGGTGGAAACAAGATTCTAAGAGAGTTTGAGAGCTTTTCTTAAGGACTTCTTCCTCCTTTGGTGGAAAACTTTTAGGGTGAGAGTTTCATTTATTTTGTGAGTTGTGAGAGACTTATATGAGAGGAAAGATTGCTACAAGTGTGGAGAAGACAATTTATTGTAAGTTCTACATGTATAGGTTTCTTGTAATGAAATCCTTCATAGTTTTCCTCGTTATGGTTTTCTCGACGATGCTTGGCTAAATTCATTCATTGTGTCTTTGTGATGTAGAGGTAGTGGATTTAATTGTGATTTTTTCTGTAATGCTTTTCCACTAGCATTTTCTTATGCTTTCAAGACCTATAATGTTGGTTAATTTATGAACTTAATTTACTCCTAATCTAACCAACTAGAATGTTAAAAATATTTTGTAAAGTTACAACCACTAACCATTGCGTAATGGAAATTAAGTGTTAACCACAGAATTCCAAGTGATAAGACATATTTCAGTAAAATTCTGCAATCATTTCAGGGGGATCATAACAGTTATGCAGAATACTATGAGAATTGAGGAAGCCTCAAATTCATGGATTCTAGGCTTCTTTTAACCTAAAAATAAGTATAAGGGGTACTATATCCCCAATTGAGAACAATCAAGCAGGAAAACATCTAAAAAAAATCACGATCATCATGATCCCTAAATAAAAGAGGCACGAGCCTCATCAATCTTGAAGGAACTCACAAAATTTTTTCTCTATTTCTATTTTCTGTTGCCTACCATTCACTCTATTTTTGCTAGAATCTCTAGACTTAAAACATCTTTGCAATCATGTCAAGCTAGGTCAACTAAATTAGTAAGCTAGAGATTTTTCTACAGAAAAAATGGTTAGACATTACTTGTTGGATCGATACGAAAACTCTTAAACTACATACTACTTGACATGTTCAATTGCATTGTATGCTCAACTAACTCTGCGGTAAGTTTTGGTGTGTAAGCTGTATGTTTTGTCTATCGCCTTATGGTCTCGGAGGATCAAGTGTATTTGCGTCATGGACAGGCGAAAAGATGTGAGTCATCCCTCGATCTCCACCTGCCTAATTTAGAAGCCCTCTTCTGCAGATGATGTAAGGAGGACTCTGCTTTGGAGGAAACAGGGGTGGAGTTATATACCTTCGATATATGGTTATTGGACATCTCCAACAACTCGTCCAATGTCTTCGGTCGTTGCATACCCAAAGCATACCAAAAGGGTCATTCCTTTAACTATTGAGCTAGGGCAACATGAGCTATTGTAGCCTCTAAGTCCAATATTTCTAACATGTCCTTTTGGAAGCAGGTGGTGAGGGAACGAAGGCTCTCTTTCTATGCTAATTGGGTCTACGGGAGGGCTTACGAATTCTTCTAAGGCTTTTGGGCACTGAAAATGACACTATAAATATTCGCTTGAAATTATCAAACATCATGATCACTCTTAACGACAATGTATTGAACAACCCGAGAGCCTACTCCCTTTGTGTGGTAAAGAAGAGTCGACATTCAAAGCATTAGTGATTCTCAGCAGACACATATTTTGCTCAAACGGAGACTATGAGGTCGGTCAGATTGTTCCTGCTCTTATATAACTCAAGTGCGGGGATTTTGAACCTCTTAGAGCTTTGCTGATAGAACACTTTCTCTGGTTGTTGGGGAGCTTTAGTATGCCCAAATTGATGTTTGTCAACAGTACCAACCCAACATTATCAAAGTACAAGGAGTCTCCTTCTCTTTCCAAAGATAAGAGCTCTTTAGTCATTGAGAGTCGACCCTTCATCCCGGGGTTGCTGCTCTTTTTCTCGAACCAGTTCCTCTCGAATGACATCCAACATTTGATCCTTCATCTCCTAGATCCACTGATTTATGATTTGCTTGGTGCACTTCATGTTACTAGTGCCTCTGTTGTGAGTTTCTTCTCTGTGGGCTACTTCTTTTATTGTTTTGGTATGTTCCATACTTGCCAAACCTTTTATGATGTTGAATCCTAATTTATCCGTAATCACATCTCAAATAACAGAGCATAAGAAATGAAAGAGAGAAAAATAGATAGAGAAAAGAGTGAACATAAGTTGAATATTAAATTGTATCAACCGAGTTGACCTTTGCAACCTTTTTTCAGCTAAATCAGGTGTATCTGCCTCCTTTTGTACCTCAAATGATCTCTTATTCATATGAGAATATAATATGACATTCTTTACACTTCTGCCCCTGCTGTTAATGAGGGTTGTAAATGATATTTTAAATATTTTATATCTATGAGTCTATGGTTCAACTGCTCTTTGGCTTGTTCGACTAAGCTCGTATGACTTCAGCTTGGCAGGCGGGTTCTATTACCCGGGCTTAGTTGAAATTGTCAGTCTACTGAGATCAAATGGTTTCGGGTCGGTATTACTAATTCGGTCGATTGGCTAGGTTGACTGTCGACCCTTGATGATAGATAGTGGAGCTTCTTGTCGCTTTTGCTATGATTCGAGACGCCGAGGGGCTAAATCTTCCCTCGAGTCGGCTGACTAGTGGGTGGCTATCTATCTTCTTTCTGGCCGAACAACTCGGATTTAGGTCATTCAATAATTTTTCCCGAACCAGTCGGTCTTGACCTTACTTTTTTTGGCTCAGACAGCTGCTTCCGGTCAGATGTGGGTCTCCTAGTCTTCCATTAGTGGACCCTCTATTAAAATATTACCCTCGTTCTGGATCGTTAGATCTTCTCATGATCAACACAAATATATTTTTGATGTACATGTATATTTTTTATGTACATATATATAAGTAAAACTAGCAAATATAAAAAAGTGACCTTCAAGTTTTATTTTAACATCAACTAAATAGCTTTGACTATTTTAAATATACATCCTTTTTCCCATAACTAATAAAAAAAATACATGTGAATTCTAAAACCAAATAGCAACATTAGTGGATTTGCATTGAATTCAAAATCTCAATCAACAATTTATAAACTAAAACACATTCAAATACTTTTATAAGGAAATTTTGAAATGTTCCACAAAACAAAATTTCAAAAACCAAATTTTAAGCCGTTTCCTGCAACCGACCACAACTTTCTAGACTTGCTGGATTCAAACTGAATCAATTCTTACAAGCATTAACCTCATGACTAAGGAAATCAAATTTATGTCGATTAATTAGGGGTATTTGCGTAAATGTCCCAAAATTTATTTTCTATTTACATACATCCCTTAAATTTTTATATTCAAATTCATACCATGCAAAAGTCTCATATCACATAAAAATATCATTATATTTAATTCTTGAAAGCAACATATATATTTTCATCCAAAATCACAACACTAAAATATTATAAATATGTAAATACATAAAAATTACATGATATGTATATAATTTTTTAAAAAATTGTCATGGTGAAAATAATAATTATTATTTATCCTATCAACTAATCAAACGTCTGTTTTCGACAGAAAATATTTGCGTACGTTGCGTACGCTGCACTTCGTACGTCGGGGGTTATTCAGAGGGTACAGGCGGGCCGGAACTACAGAAACGCGAGACTTATTTGTAGGTTATAAATATGTTACATGTAGATTAAAGTGGGATATAACACAAATTACATGTAGATTAAAGGGGGATATAACACAAATATAACACCCTTATACCCTCTGAATAACCTCCTGCTGAAGTACACAACCTCTTACATATGGGGGTGTAAACAAGTCAAACACGAGTGAGCCCAGGCTCAACTCGTGTCGGCTTGTTTATATTTCAATCTCAAAAGGTATGTTCGTGTTCAACTCGTTTGCTTAGCGAGCCGAACATAAGCCGTTCACAAACAAAGTCGTTTTGACAACCCTAATCAGATAACCATAAGATGTTAAAAATTAGAGCAAGATTTAAAAATTATTGTTTATATTAAAACATCATTTGAATCTAATTTAATAAATTTTATTCTATTTTCTTAATTAATACTTATAATTGATTATAAATCTTTATAGCATTGCACTCAATGAAGTTTTTTAAAAATATTACTGATCAAAGATATATGTGTGTATATATATATAATTGATTAGTAGTATTCTGTGCAAAAACAAGTCGAACACGAACAAAAGATCCGAACAAGAAGTTAACTTCGTGTTCGACTTGTTAACTTCGTGTTCGACTTGTTAACTTGACGAACGAGCAGAACACGAAGTTCTTAACGATCCGAACAAGAGCTGCTCGAGAACAACGACCTGTTTTGACAGCCCTACTTACATACGTAAGTATTTTTGGTTTTCGACAGAAAAGTGAATCCAAACGCCATTATCGCGGCAGGGAGCCGCGGAGTGCGATTGGCCGTTTGTTCCACCGCCTCGGACTGTGTTCATGAAGTAGAAATAACTGACAGGAGTGAAAAAGTTACAACGATTCCAAAATGATATAATACTTTTATAGAAATTGCATTTATTTTAAGAATATTTAATACGATAAATATTTTAAGTTGGTTTTAATTTCCATTTTTGTCATATTTTATTATTGTACATAAAAGTTAAAATTATATAAGGTATTGATGTATAATTAAAATATATTTTAGAATTAAAATTATTTTTTGAGTTATGGATAAAACCCATATTGTTTCTGGCATGCGGACCTACGATTTATTAATTAAAAAATAAAATAAAATAGAAATACTTTTTTTAGCTTTTTTATTGGCATAAATAATGGCAACCCTGCCGGCTTAAAATCGCATGTCCCCCTTTCATCTTCTCTGTTACCCCTACAGCTACTTTACTTCTCTCTCTACTCTCTACGTTTCTCTCTCCTCTCTCTTTCTCTCTCAAGAAGGTAAGCTCGGATCGGAGAGCGAGGAGGGTGGGAATGGTGGAGACGCGACGGAGCTCGTCTTCCTCGAAGAGGCCGTCTACGTCGAGCTCTAGCGGGACCGCCAAGCGCTCTAAGGTTAGAATTTTAAGGTTTATTTTTTCTACCGACCTTGTCGATTTTGGCGTCTGGTTTTGGGTCATCTTATCGATTCTTGATTCGGATCGGTTTGAATCTTTGGTCTTTTAGGCGGAGATTACGGCGGCGGAAGAGAACGAGAAGGGGGCGGAGGAGGAGCTACATGATGACCTGAGCCGCGTGGATCCCGCTGCCGGGGAGACGGCCGCGGGGACGGAGAAGGAGAGTACTGTGCCGTTGGTGCAGGATGATGTCCATCCACAAGGTGTGAACTTGGTTCTCTATTGGATTTGGTTTCGAGTAATGTTTCTTTGTATCGGGGCGATGAAAATTTTGTTGTTCAGGGAGAGAAGCTCCTGCAGAACAGCTGATGAAGTTTTTGAATTTACCTAAGAGGCAAGTGGAAAAAGCGCAGAAGCGGTCAAAGGTTCCATGGGGCAAACTCCTCTCCCAGTGTTATAAGGTCTGGTTATCGGTCAATTTTCTTTAGTTTTTCAACTACTCCTTCAGGGTTTGTTTTTTGATTCTCATAAATATCACATAATCCTAATAACCTGAAAATCTTCAGCACATGTGGTCCTTCGTTTTTGGTGTTTGGCTGCATTCATAGCATTAGTTTCTTATCGGATTTAAGATCAGGCAAAATTGTTTCTTTGGAGGATATTTGATAAACTTAAACGCCAGAAAGGTGGGGTTTTTTTTTTTAATCCGGTTGATTAAATGGCACCTTCCTTACTTAATTCCGCAGGCAACCTTAATGTTGTAATGACAAGGGACTTTTGCTCTTCAATAGCTTTCATATGATGTATTTCATTATCACTCGCCCTTTATCTGGTTTGGTGGCATTCATGAGTCAGAAAAACTGATTTTGAAAAGAATTTTTAGTGCTGATTTGATGATGAAGAATAATATGTGATTGCATTCTCAATATAATCACATTTTATCTGCGTTTGATGTCAGCTCCATGATTTATGGCCATTTTCACGCTATATTATTACTAGGTTTTTGGAATACACATGCATAAATACCACCTCTTTTATCTGCTTTTGTGTCGTTCATGAGTTACAAAAACTGATTTTGAAAAGAATTTTTTGTTTTGATTTGATGATGAAGAATAATATGCGATTGCATTCTCCATACAAACACATATTATCCGATTTTGATGCCAGCTCCATGATTTATGGCCATTTGCACGCTATATTTTTTACTAGGTTCTTGGAATACAAATACATAAATACCACCTCTTTTTGGAAACTTTGGTTAACCATTATTGTCTATGCTGTTGGTGCTTTATGCATTTGGTAACCTAGAGCCCAGATAATTCTCATTTAATCTATTGTTTATACGATCTCTTGAATGCAATTTGAAACTTCTAAAAAACATAGGACCAGGTAGTCATTTTTTATGATGTTATTTTGTTAGATGTATTAACTTCTTGAAAGTTTGTAAAATCATAAAAGATAAAGCCATTGTAACATGATAACTATTTATTGTTTTATTTTTTAGAAAAGCATTGTAATTGATGTATGAGTCCTCATTTTTAGCCTTTACTCAACTATTTAGGGTTAATGAATCCTCATTCTTTATACATGCTTATTTATTTTTAGAAAAGCATTGTAATTGATGTATGAGTCCTCATTTTTTGCACAGAATTTTTCCTATTCCTTTTATATTAGTTTTATTTGTTGCCTTATTATCACATCTCACAGAATTTTTCCTATTCCTTTTATATTAGTTTTAATTGTTGCCTTATTATCACATCTACTATTGATGTATGTGCCAAAATAATCCAATTCTATTTTGCCTTCTTTTCTTTAATATGCGCTACTCTCATAATTTCCTATATAAATTAATAATTTTTCGCATTAATCTGTTTTATTTTAGTACGCAAGCCGTTTTTTTTTTTTAGATCTGTTTTATTTTAGTACGCAAGCCGTTTTTTTTTAAGACACAAACCATCCTTATATTTCTTTTTTTCCATATTAAATTGTCTTCTAAATGACTTCTTTTTTTCCACGTATTTGGATTCTTGTGGCATATGTGAGCTATCATTTTACAAAATTAAATTTTAATTTTTGTTCTGATCTAATTTGAAGATAGTCACAACCTATATTGATAATGTCCTCACCCGTTATTTGCTAATAAGATTTCACCATGTGATCGATTTTAACACCAAAATAATTTTGTCAACATTTATCCATTATTTTTGTTATACAATTTCTATTTTAAACCTCTGTAACATCTGATAGCTTGTCGCCTCAGAAGTTCTGTTTTTTTGCTTGAATTTTTATCTTTTTTAAATATGTTTTCTCTGAATATCATGGATATTAATTATCCACTAATAAAACTAATAAAAAGGAGAGTAAAGGTGAGTGCCTTGGGGTTATGTGGTTTGGGACAAATGGTAGCTATTGAGTGCTTACAAGGAAAGCTGTGGTGAGGTTTTTGGTTTCTTGTACTTGGCTTTAAATGAAGAGAGTTGCTGGTTGTTGATTAGAGAAAATACAAGAAGAATTAAAGAAGAGAGGAGGATAGGGAAGAAGAAGAAAATAGTTCTTGTTACTCATTTATGTGTGGCCTTGGAGTACTATTTTGTTGTTGTGTGGGTATGGTTTTACCATAGATGTGATTTTTCCATAGATATGTGTAATGATGTTCTTTTAAGGAGCATTTAAGTTTGTAATTATGGTATTATTTAGTTTATGTTTTTATCATCTTTCATCTCTCTATTGTGATTCTCTTTTGTGTTTGGCATGTGATATTTGGGGCTTCTCTTTTATTTTGAGATTTGTCTGGGTTTGGGGATGAGCTTTTGTGTGCTTTTTTCATTTTTAACTCTTTGTGTCTTTTTATTGTTGATTCGATCCTCTCTCCTCTCCCGTTGATATAGGCTTGTTTTCGCTAAGCCACATTAATCTTTGTGACTTATTGTGATACTTGTTTTCCTGACCATTAGGTCCATTACTTTTTGTGTTCTTATTAGCTCCCATTTAGCACATCAAAAGTATTTTTCTTTTTGCTAACAGGAGGTTGGTAGTGCTGCTATGTCACCCCCTTAACGAGAGATGGGGAATGAAACAAAATAGAGGCACTATAATTAGCACCATTTAGAAAATTTTTATTCCTTGTAAGATGATTTTTTTGTTATTCTATTGGGGTCCACTCAATAGGAGAAATATTACTGCAACAAAATAGTATGATCTCTTTAACGTGATGGGTTGAAAGTGAAGGGCCAATTTGTAAATTTACTAATTTTTGCTTTAATTTTGTTTTATGTAGCACAGAAGGCTTGATTGGTTTGTTTATTTTTATTTCTGATTTCATTTAACCCCCACCCCAAGCACTGCGTTCTCTACTTTCTGATCAGCATTTCTGACTCTTTCGCCTTATGCAATGCTCAGAACCCGCATCTTCCCATATATGATTCCAACTTCACTGTTGGGCAAAGCCGGCACTGCAATTTGAGGTTGAAGGATCCTTCCATAAGTACAGTTCTTTGTAAATTGAAGCACGAGGAGGTGATCATCTAGCTGGCACTTTCTGGGTTGTTGTTAGTGATTAAAACAAAGGCTGCTTATTTTGTTTTCATTAAATTCCATTCAACAAATCTGAATTCATCTAATATGTATATTTTGTGACAGCAAGATGGTGCATCCGTTGTATCACTTGAGATGTTGGGGGACAAAGGATTAGTCCAGGTAAATGGAAAGATTATTGCACAAAATTCCAGTGTCGTGCTCAGCGGCGGGGATGAGTTGGTTTTTAGCTCTTCTGGGAAGCATGCTTATGTATCCTTTTCCATTTTCTACAATCATATTTATGAATAAGATTCTCACTTCATCCATTATTAATTTCATATAACTATCTGATATAATTGTGTTTTATGGAATGAGATTCCCTTGACAATTTTAGATCTTCCAACAACTTCCTCATGTAAGCCGTCCAGCTCATCCTACCTCATGCAGTATTGAAGAAGCTCAAGGTGAATCATTGAAAGGGATTCCTTTGGACATGAGACTTGGAGATTCATCTGCTGTTGATGGAGCATCAATACTTGCCTCCTTCCCAAATCTTACCAAAGATTTAGCAGCGCTTAGATGCCCGCAACCAAATGGGCCAACTGGTCAGTGTTAGATGTTTTATTTCATTTCGTTCATAGTGTTTCTGAGGGTAAATTAACATTTAATTTTTTTAACCCTTTTTTGTCAGTGTTATCTTCTTCTGAGTTGGATGTAGCTGGTGATACCTACAGAAAACAGGAGGATAGATGCGAGAATATTTTCAAAGAAACCGATTCTAGGGCAGCTTTGCCATCTAATAGATGTCAAGTTTTTAAGGATGCTTTGAGAAGGGGCATTCTAAATGCCAGTGACATTGATGTGACGTTTGACTCTTTTCCCTACCATTTAAGGTAATTAATTCGGTCTGCTCTTCCCAAGACTTTTTGTGGATTGTAGATGTTTTGATTTTTGTGCTGTTTAGAGAAGCGGGTTTTATTACTTTTGATGACTGGGACTTGAAATTAAATTTGTGGTTTGTTTGTTAATTGCTACAATTATGTTCATGTTTAAAGCTGCAGTAGGAAACTGTTTTGAAATGTTACATGCTGACCCCTGGATAAATTCAGTGATAAATTGCAGTTGAAAATGCCATAAAAAATGCTAAAATGCCTAGTAAGTGAATTATTCAACATAAACATTTGTTTAGCTGAGGTATAGATTCATCAAGAATATGGTTTATAGACAGCAGATATGTGGCATGAGTTTTGTTTTTGTTTTTTTTTTTACTTCAATACCTTGAATGTTAGGTTTCAAAAAAAGCTGCTAACATGTGGATGATGAACTGGATAGTTGGTTAGTGAGCTGTCACACAGCATTGATTAGGTAGGTTTAAAAGAAAGTCTCTTTTGTTAGAAATATGAATATATTGAAGACTTCTCCTCATTATGTATGGCTTCTTAAGGAGGTTGACATATGAATTTTGTTAGTAGTACATATTTGAATCTTCAAGGCTGTACTGTTTTTTGAACCTGTTATTGTTTGATTGATTCTAGTTTTTAGGATTTTTTTTACTTTTCTGGTCATTAACCCTAAACCATTTTCATCTTCCCCACAGTGAGAGTACGAAGAATGTACTTCTATCTTGCGCATATGTTCATCTGGAATGCAGGCCTTTCACTAAGTATGCTGCAGAAATATCATCTTTGAGCCAGCGCATACTTTTGTCTGGCCCAACAGGTATTATGGTCTTATGTTTTCTATGAATGGTCATGCTTTCCATGGCCTGCAATTGAGATCCTGCTTGTTTATGTAGGTTCTGAAATCTATCAAGAAACCTTAGCCAAGGCACTTACCAAGCACTTTGGTGCCAGACTACTTATTGTTAACTCTCTCTTGTTACCTGGTGTAAGTTTCTTTCTTCTCCTTTTTGTTGAATATTTACATTTGACTTCTTGAACCAAACCAATTGGTTCTCATTTTTATTTATTTTTACTATTTTGGTATAATTACATACACAGCACTCAAAATATTGCTATTGGCAAAATTAGTTATGTTTTTGAACTATCAGACAGATGCATTTACATGTTCCAAGATCAAACCAGTGAGAATTTGATAAAAATGAAAACATGGGTTGAGGTTTTATCTGTGAGAATTTGATAAAAATGAAAACATGGGTTGAGGATTTATCTTAAATTTTGATATTTGAGTGAGAATTGAAAAATGGATGAAAGTGAGTGTTAGATTTCTAAATAGCAATGTTTCAAGTGTTATGTATGTAATTTTCCCTATTTTTTTTCTCATATAATGTTATGTTTCTTGAGTCTGTATGCACACTTGCAAATTATTTTAGGGACAATCGAAGGATTCAGAATCTCCACCCAAGGAAGTGACTAAGATAGACAAATTGGCCAGTCTTCTTGCGAAACGATCTGCAGTAGGTGATATCTCGCAGTTCAAGAGACCGACATCAACAGTGGATGCTGACATTGTTGGTTCATCTTCTTGTAATTTGAATTCTCTGCCGAAGCAAGAGTCTTCAACAGCGACATCAAAACCATACACATTTAAAGAAGGTATGATGCATCTCTTACTGCTGTTTAATTGCAGACCTCAATCCCTCTTTTCTGATATAAAGCCAAGATCAAGTTGTATTTTTTGATACTCACTTTTATTTAGTTATCTTTGTAAATTGAGATTCTTTCTAATGTAGGTGATCGAGTAAAATATGTTGGTCCCTCGAATCCCATGGGATTTCCTCATGCTCAAAGGTAACTTTCATCTGTCTTTTGTGCTTTCTTTCTTATATATATGTATGTGTGCGTGCGCACGCGCAATTGGTGGCCCGTTGGATGACAGCTTCGGCGTAAGTCCCCTCTGTCTTGGGTTCGAATCCATTTGGGTCAAATTAGCACATATGGGGCGGACAGACATATATTGTTTTATTTATTGTTTTGTGTGGATGTTCATGTTTGTGTATGGACCGACACGGTTTCACGGGCATCAAATTAACCCTTTAGCCAAAGGTTCTGAAATTTTTAGCGCATCAATTTTATAGTTTATTTAATTTTTTTGCTGTTTTTTTTTCAACATAGAGCAATGCTTAATGTATAATCTCCCTAAAAGTTATAAACTATCGTCGTTGTTCTTACTTTTATTCAAAAATATCTTGGCTCATTTTTTATGCTGTATTTTATTCATTAGCATTCTTGAAGTCAAGTGTTTCTTTTGAAACACATGTTATTGAATTTTCTTTTTTCTTTGATTGGGTCATAGCTATTTTCTAATACATGATGGTGCATCTTATAATTTGACTCTGTCTTGGATTAATCCGATGATTTAAGTGCCACTATAAGTCTCATGCCATGACATTACCAGATGTGCTTGTCTGATTTTAGATATCCAATTTTATAACATTTACCTTAATTGTTTTTAAAAGCATGAAAGTTGCCTCCACCCTTATTCTCTTTTCTGCCCTCTATTTCAGTCAATCATATCTTCAACATCAACAGCTTATTGCTTTGATGTGATTTTATTATTTGTGATCCCTGGCAAGTGGAGGTATACAAACGTTTTTCATCGTGGTTTAGAAGGCACTGCTTGTTTAAGTAACTTAGGAGACTTCTATTTTTGATTTTTTATTTTTGGCTCAAAGCAATTGCTATCTGTCAGTTTATGCTTGAGAAATTGAGTATAGCTTTCTTCCTTTCACCCATGCTCCCCACACAAATACCTATTCCTTTTTCTCCTTACATTTTTTTTCCAGGATTAGAACCATTAAATTTAATAAAGCTGAATAAATCCATGATGCGAGTCATCGATGCTGGAGAAGTTTCAGCTAAACGTAGCAGGACAGCTGGACGGAGAATTGTTAGATAAAATTTGCATGATAAGCTATATTTTTTTTGTCACAAGCCTTATCATTTTTCCCAATCTCATATTTGAAGGCATGCATGTTCTATGCAGCTTGAAAGATATGCACAATTTTGATTAGTAATTTCTTCATTCCTTTTCTTCAAGATTAAATATTTTGGTGTTTATCACGTTTTGAAATGTAAAAGGCGCTCAGGGGTTTATGTTAGTTGCTCCCTTTTAATGTTCATGCAATTAATGGTTTGATGCAGGTCATCATAATGTCTAAGGCTTTTCTAATGCAGCTCTGAGATGAGATGTGTGAAATTATGCACGTGAGATCAAATCTATAGTTTAGAAACTTCTAATTTAGACGATTATTAATCACTTTAGATTGTGCGAGTGTAAAAAATATATGAAAATAGTAATTTAATAGTTGTTTGATTAAAATCTAAAATAATGACTCATTTTATCGAATTAGAATATGATCAAGTAAGATTAGAGTTTCTAAATAGAAGAATTCTCATAATAGTGCAGTAGATGAACTTATGAAAAATTTAAAATGCTAGAAAGAATCTCATACAAAACAAATTTTATCTAATCAAAGTATAAATTTGAATGTAATTCTCTTTTACATTGCCCTAGGGTGTGGTGCACTGTCATCGCAGTTTTTTTTCGTTTGGTAGCATTGTGTTTTGTTTGCATTCTCAAAAATCTGCAGCTGAATGATATTTTCCACTAAAGGTGTCTACCTGTGGGGTTGCTAGAAAGTTGCGGGTTGACATTTTCAAAAAAAAAAAAAAAAGCCACCACAGCTTTTTACAAAACAGCTTCATCTTCAGTAGCTTCACAATTGCTTCTTCAAACCGCTGCAGCTACCCCAAACAAATCCATAATCCCCTTATTTATAGGCCTACATCAATTTACATAGAATACTTAGAAAATAAGTCAACATTGCTCTTTGATGGTTTAAAACCAGGCCTAAACACAAACAATTTGGTTTTAGGATCTTTGATGGTCTCATAATGCACAATATTTTCTAAAATTATTTATTTATTAGGTTTACCTGAAGTTCTTTGTTCTACTTAATTAAATTCATAAAAAAGTGATCTTGATATGAAGAAGATAAATTTTAATCTTTTAAAAGTACTTTTATTTCAACCCAATTAGTGAAAGCTTTGTGACCAGTTCATCATAAAATTCTCCAATTATTTGATAATCTATATTAAGCCTTCAATGATTTTCATAATTATCATTGTTAAGTACCCTAAATTGTCTATCATAATTATCATCTCCTACTAGAATTAATTTTAAATGAATAGGTTCTTACTAGAATTGACATTCAAATGAACCAGGCCATTGTAATTGGAGTCCACTTCACGTTCGCGTGAATACATTGATTATTTGCTCCATTTTTATGACATGGTGACCCAACCTAAAGATTTTATAATTATTTTTAAAGGTGAACTTTCGTTTGGGATTTCAACCAGCTAACCAGAAAAAGTAAATGTTCTAGGTTCAATGGTTCAATCGGAGTTGAATTGGGCGATGCCATAAATAAATTATTTTTAGTAAAAATTAAAAAAAAGAAAATAATGATATATTAATGTTATTTTTGTCTAGGCAACCAATTATATTTTAATTTAAGATAATACTTTTGAATATTTTGAGCAATATTATAAATAAAAAATTTAAGACATGATATTTTTTTTAATATTTAAATATCTTATTTATGACCATCCGATCAAAATCAAAATACTAAAATTAAAGAATATTTCAACCGGTTGGTTCCTTAAAAACTTGTCTGATTCACTGATTATCCGGTTGAACTTCAGTTCTATGTAGAAACGGCTTTGAGCTTGGACCGAAATTGTTAAATGATCGGTTCACGTATGAATCGGTCGAATCAGCAAAGAGCAATGTTGGTCCAGTCTAGTTTTTAAAACCATGGATTTTAAAACCATTATTTAGTTTTTAAAACCATGGATTTTTTAATGCAACTACTATAATATGTAGTATAAATTCAAAATTTTTATTTAGGAAGATTTACATCATACCTCTCAATTATTATTTATTTTCATATCTAACACCTGAACTTCAATTTTTACATACATGTCACTCTACCTATGTATGACAATCCTTATATCACTTTTTAAAAGTTAAAATAGTGGTATTTCTGATGTGATGTGAAAGATTTGAACTGTATAACTGTAAAATATAAACTTTAGGTGTTAAATATGTAAGTGCATAGGAATTGGGAGGTATTTATGTAAATGTCCCCTTTTATTTATGAGAGTTTGTTTGGATTTTATTTCTGCTTGAGGGACTGAGTGATTAGACTTTAACGAGGTCCAATTCTGCAATGTTTCGGACATTTATTAAGTAAACTTCAGGAAGCAACTTTGTATATCCAGCTATATTTGCATTTGTCACCCCTTTGATATCAAGCTTTTGGCTATAAGCAAAATGTTATCTAATAATCACAATGCAAGTCAATCATGGTGTCTTAACTTTATTCCGTAAACCAATTTATAGTATATGATATTCTTTTTTGAGATGTATAAGGATATTTCATGAAAGGAATACTCAATGACATTTTTTTAAATTTCAGTGCATTCGTCGGCCAACAATCATTATTTTCCATTAATTTTACAGTTCAATGATGAATATGTCATGAGTTCCTTTTTATGATCTGAACTATGCATTATGAAGGATTAGCAACAAAAATGCCACATCTAACCTAAAGTTTTGGCATTGAACATTTTGTGAAGAATATGCATATTTGGTTGCTGAAACCTCTGTACTTCATATTAATGGTCTTTTAACTACCTTTCTTAATTTTGTGAGAACACATATGTGAACTTCTATATTCTTCTCTGGTTAACGTGCTGTTGTTCTTCATTCCTTGGCTCTTTTCATTCGAAAATGTTTAGGAGATTTAATATTTTGTTATGTGCAGGGGTCCAAACTATGGATTCCGAGGAAAAGTACTTCTTGCATTTGAAGAAAATGGATCTTCAAAAATTGGAGTTAGATTCGATAAGCAAATTCTTCAAGGGAATGACCTTGGAGGTCTGTGTGAAGAAGATCATGGTTTCTTCTGTTCTGGTGATTCTCTGATGTCCATACTCTTATGTTTTTTGAGCTATTTGTATGCTTGTTTTTTTATAAGAAGCTGAAAATGCTGGTTACTAACATTTTTTAATATTTTATTTTTTTTAATTTCTGTTTCTTAATATAGCTGATTTACTTCGTTTGGACCCTATCGGAGGTGAAGAGAAAGAAAAACTTGCTATCAGTGAGTTGATAGAGGTGAATCAATTGTAGTCACATTTATTTGATTTGTAATGTATGTTTTCTGTTCCTTCTACCCTTTTTAGTGCTTTTAAGCACTTCTATTCTCAGGTTGCATCTGAAGAAAGTAAACAAGGCCCTCTAGTTATATTTATCAATGACATAGAGAAATCTTTGGGCTCCTATGTGGATTCGTCTTCTTCTTGTAAGGGTGAGCTGGAATCAATGCCTGCAGGCATTCTTGTGATTGGCTCACATATTCAAATGGATAATCGTAAAGAGAAGGTGGTCTACACATTGCTTTGTATTTATTTCCATTTTTATGCTCTATTGTGCTCTTTGATTTTTTGTATTGGTTTATAATCTTTTTGATTTTGCAGTCACATCCTGGGGGCCTCTTGTTTACAAAATTTGGGAGTAACCAAACCGCACTTCTGGACTTTGCTTTTCCGGTAGATTCCATCTCTAGTGTAACTTGCACAACGCTATGTAGTGACACTAGCTTTATTTATTTAACGATGAATTTGTCTTTCCTTGTGGATTATGCATGTTTTTAAAAATTCAAGATTCTTACGAGATGATTGTTATGCTTAGAAAGTGGGGAGCAAATAGACCAAACAATGTTGCAAAATAGTTATTGACCTCAATATAATTTTCACGACCTAAACACAAGTTAAAACAATTTCGAAAAAAAATTCAAATGTGATATCACACGAGATATATTGAAATGACTCGATTGACGCTGAAAATGTCTAAATGTCGTTCATTCAAGAAATTCGTTGCATTTATAAACCCAGAACATTGAAAATGCCCAAGGTAGACCGCTCAATCAGAATGAAGGTGATTGAATGTGATATCTCATGAATCAAACTCAAATCAACTTGAATGCCATCAAAATCACCTAAATATTTTAAGTTTGCAAAACATATGGTGTCAATGCCTTCGTAATATAAAAAAATGCTTAAAATAGGCAATCATATTGTTTGGGTACTATTACAAATGTCGAATATGAAATTTACTTGTGCAAGTGAGCGACAACATAAAGTTTGATATATACGCATTGCAAGAGATAAAATATATATACATATATAAATAAGTATTATTATATAATATATGAAATTATGTTAAAGTATACAAAAACTATTAAAGAAGTGGGAAAAGTTGTACTTGTAGAATCAAAAGAAAAAGTTTCTGTAAATAAAAATAGTTGGTGGTGGAATAATAATGTGCAAGAAAAGATAAAAAATAAGATATATTATAAAAATTGGCTTAAATGTAACAACTTAGAGAACTGAGAAAAATATCAAATGACTATTTCAGAGTCTAAGAGAATAATCTGTGACGCTAAAATTTCTGCTTTTAGTGATTTTTATAATATATTAGATACTAAGAAGGTTGAAAAATATATGTATAAACTAGCCAAATAAAGAGAAAAAAAGGTAAAGTTTTAACTCAAGTAAAGTGTATTAAAGATGAAAATCAAAAAATATTTTTCTTAGAAAATGATATTTAAAATAGGTAGGTGACTTATTTTGATAAACTTTTTAATGAAGTTTCGGAAAATATGATCGACCTTAGTGATATTAATGTTGTTAATAATAATAAAATGTTTCATTTTTATCGTTGCATTAGTAAAATAGAAGTTGAGGAGGCTTTACAGAAAACCAAGGGTGGAAAGCCTGTAGGAACTGATGATATCCCAATTGAAGTATGGAAATATGAAGGAGATTTGGGAGCTTCTTGGCTTACTAAACTCTTTAATTTTATTTTAAAAACTAAAAAGATGTCTGAGTAGTGGAGGAAGAGTATTTTGGTCCCCATTTTTAAGAATAAAAGGCATGCTCAAGATTGTGCCAATTATAGAGGATTTAAGTTGATGTGTCATACTTTAAAATTATGGGAGATTATAATTGAACATAGATTAAGACATTATAAAAATTTCTCATAATCAATTTAAATTTATGTCAAGCAACTCTACTATGGAACCCATATATTTATTGAGAGGTTTGATGGAGAAGTTCAGAGATAAGGTTCTACATATGATTTTTATTGATTTAGAAAAAGCTTACGATAAGGTTCCAAGAGATATCCTTTGGAGAGTTCTTGAGAAGAAAGGTGTTGAGATGACTTATATTCAAGTCATTAAAGGCATTCATACAAGAATTGTTATTTGTGTTCGAATAGAAGAAGGATTGACCAAATATTTTCCTATTTCTGTTGGTTTACATCAGGGATCGGCTTTAAGCCCACATCTTTTTGCTTTAGTTATGGATGGTCTCACTGGACACTTACAGGATTTACCTTGGTGTATGTATTTTGCTGATGATATCCTTCTCGTGGATAAGAAGAGATAAAAAGCTCGGGAAAAACTTGAATTATGGAGGTCTACCTTGGAGTCTAAAGTCCTTCGTTTGAATAGAAGAAAAACTGAATACATGGAATGTAATTTTATTAATAGTAGCTCTAGTGCCCCCGAAATGTAATTATGGGTGATCAAATTATTAAAAGGTGTGAACGCTTTAGATATATTGAGTTTATTGCTCAAAGTGATGGTGATATTGATGGGGATGTTATTAGTAGAATTCAAATTGGTTGAAGTGGATGAATGCTTCGGGCCTATTATATGATAGAAAAGTACCGCTTAGACTGAAATGAAAACTTTATAAGATGGTTGTGAGAATTGCAATGCTCTATGGCGCTGAACTATGGCGCTGAATGTTGGCCTTTAAAAGAGAAGCATAAAACTATGTTAAATGTTTCTGAGATGAGAATGATTAGGTGACGAGTGGCTTTACACTTAGAGACAAAATGCGAAATTAATATAGTGACAGACAAAATTAGAGAAAGTCGTCTTATAGATGGTTTGGTCACATTAAACGCCGATCTTCTGATGATTCGAGTAGAAGAGAAGAGGTTTTAGATTCTCAACATAGATACTCACATGAATGGTACTGTTCATAGGCAATTTAATCTTTTATTATTATTGTTGAGTATAAATAGGCTATTATGTTTAGGGTTAGGGGTTCATGAGATTGAGTTGCTAGTTTTAGTTTTATGTTTGAGGGATTGGGAGAAATTGCCTACCTCTCAAATAGTTAGTTCTTATCTTTGTTTTCTTGTTGAGTTATTTGATTTATTGAAGAAATAATGTTTGCCCTAATTTTTCTAGAAAAACGTGCTGATTTTGAGGTCAAACTGTAATACAATCTCAGGTTGGATGTTTTTAATTGGTAGAACTTGGGAGACAGGATTGTTAGATGGAAGGAGAATATGTTATGATGATGCTAAATTAGTATGGGTATTCAGAGTAGTGTAGGTCAGTGGAATATGTTGTGATGACTCTAAGTTAGTGTATCTTGAGTAGTGTTCCAAAACTGATATTTTTCTGGATTCTCCCCATGAATATTAGATTTGGGATATTAGGGTTGGTTTTAAAGGAAGATAACGTCCAAGGAGTTATAATATTTTTTTTTGCAATTTAAGAATAACACTTGTACCCCTTTTCATTAGAAACATACCCAAGGTACATTTAATAGAATTTGGGTCAAGTTTTTTACGGTTTAGTTGGTGAATGTGAACAAAAGAGAGCCAAATATTTTTGGAGGAAGGTTGAATGAGAATGCTTTGAAATGAGGGTATTTTTTCAACACACTATCAAGAGGGGCTATGAATTCATGGACCATGACATTCTATTAATGAGGTAGATTATTATGAGCACAACATCTCCCCAGAAAATTTTCAGTACATGTGAGGAAACATTATAGATCTTGATACCTCGAGTTATATGTTCTTCCTCTCAGCTATTTCATTTTGTTTTGGTGTTTCAACATAGATACTCACATAAATGGTACTGTTCTTTGCATGGTAGTGTCCAAGAATAAAGTTGAAGTATTTATTTGTATCATCAGTTTTGAGAATATGAATTTTTTATTAGACCTGAGTGGAAATCATGTTATAAATGAATTTTTCCTTCCTGATGAATATGCAACTGGTTCAATAAAGGAGACAAGTCCTTCGTCTCCTTCGACAATTTTTAATTCTGATGGTTCCCAAATGTCATCATCGTTATAAAATTATGTTCTCATACATTTTGATAGTTCTCTTCTTTGTCAATCATCAAATTACAACTCTTCTCCTTATAATAAGTTAAGGCTTGGGAAAACTTAATTCCTATCATTATAACTGACGAAAGACACAACAAACAACAAAAGAAAAGAAATACAGCATAATAAGAAAAGAATAGACAAGAATAAATCTAAAATAGTAAATTCAAATTTCCACAGTAAGTAACTGTTACTTGTGACTTTTGTGGAATGAACCAAGGTAAATGAGAAGGGTAACAGGTGAAATAAGATAAAGAAACTGTACCTATGCATGATAGAAAATGCATAATTCCAAAGTAAAGTAACTTTAATTTCACATTAAAATGTCTGCGCAGTCATACTTGTTGATGTTGCTGAGCATTGTTCTGAACTAGTGACCTAATGGTGGCTAGATAGTTGCTCAGCCGCTGAAGAAACGTGAAGGATCCAAAGTTCCTTAGATAATATAATAGAGAACATAAAAAGGAATGATGTCATGAGCAAAGAGAAAACATTCGTATTAAAGGGGAGTGGTTTGGCAATTGATGGAACAACAATTATGACAAACTGGTGGCCTTCTTGAGCTAACCAGTGCTGTTTTATGTGAATACGAGGAAGTGTCGGATCAAAGATGCTGCATGAACTTAACTTTTCCGTTTTTTATGGTATTTATGTAAAAATTTTTCTGGGCACTGCAGGATAGTTTTGGTAGACTACATGAAAGGAGTAAAGAAATTCCGAAGACGATGAAGCAACTTATGAAAATTTTTCCAAATAAAGTTACCATCCAGCCGCCACAGGTATGGAATAGTAGCAATAATTCTCAATAATAAATTTGATCCTTCTAGGGATTATTTCTGAAATGCACAGAAATTTCAGGATGAAGCTCAACTTTTGGACTGGAAGAACCAACTTGACCATGATACTGAAGCTCTAAGGGCAAAGTCAAACATTTCCAGCATTCAATCTGTAAGTTGATTTTTGTGTGACTACATTGTGGTGCATTTCATTTTTTTAGGTGAATACTTTGATTTTGAAAGCCTAATATAATACAGCTGTTATTGATAATTATTAGATTCTTTATGGATTAGCATTTTAACAATATTTAATAAATAATCCATACCGCTTTTGTCCGTTCCTTCCCTTTTGAATATGTGCTTATTACTGTTTGCTTCAGAAAGGGAAAGACTATTTTTAGGGAAGCCGTTGCATTTTTCAATTAATATGTTGGATGTTTCATTTTTTTTAGTTTCTTTTAGCTTTCATAATCTGGATTTAGATTTTTAAAATTGTTTTGTTTTCATAATCTGAATTCAGTCATGTCTGGGTCGTAGTAGGATGATGCATTTACTGAATATGGGATAGTAAAATGTCCACCTGCTGCATTTCTCCAATAAAGTAGGAATGATCTTTTGATGCAAAGTTGCATGTGAAGATGCGAAGCAATATATTCTTGAATTTCTGATTGTTTAATCAGTCTTTTGAACCGTTGTGGGTTTGTGCTTTCTTCTTTTCAATTTTAATAAATTTGGTGAGATCATTATTATTTGTATGTATGAAATTATGAAATTTTTTAAAGCATTAAATTTTCATGAATTTCATGAGATTTTAAAAATTTGTTTTTGTGGTATATCGAGAATTGTTAAAAAAATCTCTGTATGTTTCATATCTATAATATTGCATTTACCTTATGCTGTATTTGTCTGTTTTTCCCCTAATTTATGTTCTTGGGGATTGCTAAATTTCATATGTAGATGCTATTTGCTTAATAAATTTTTCTTTGTTTCTCCTTTTTTTTTCCAGTTCATAAGCCGCATTGGATTTGAATGCAATGATCTTGAAGCACTAAGTATAAAAGATCAGACACTAACAAATGAAAGTGGGTATATAACTTTATTTTTTTTGGTAACTGCTCTTTAATATTTGGGACAGGCTTCATATTTGTATTTCATTCAACAGGTGTGGACAGAGTAATTGGGTTTGCTTTATGTCATCATCTTAAGAATTTCAAATCTGAAACATCTGCTGATGCTAGGCTTAGCCTTTCCTGTGAGAGGTAGCGAGGTTTTCTTATTTGAATTCCATGTTATGAAACTTTCAGTGTTATTGTAAATGCTAAGAAACGAATTCAACTTTTTAGCAGCGGAGGTTGTTACTATGAACAGTAATTCCCCCCTCTGAAATCTGAGATTTATATAATGCACATATTCTAACCATTTTATGCTAACTATGTAGTGTAAAATATGGACTACAAATGCTACAAAGCTTTCAAAATGACGTGAAGAGTTCAAAAAAATCACTGAAGGTAACTCCACGGACTGTAATTTCATATAATATCTTAATTCTATACATATTTTTTCACCCAAAACATTGGCCTTTCAGAATGTTTTTCATTTAATTATGCATTATTACATTAAATTTTAATTATTGCAGGATGTTGTTACTGAGAATGAATTTGAGAAGCGGCTCCTCTCTGATGTTATAGCCCCTAGTGACATAGGAGTTACATTTGATGACATTGGTGCTTTAGACAATGTGAAAGCCACATTGAAAGAGTTGGTGATGCTTCCATTGCAGAGGCCAGAGCTATTTTGCAAAGGACAATTGACAAAGGTTTAACCACTCACTTTCTCAAAGTTTCAGCTTGCTGTTGAAAACATACATTCCTTAAAGAAGTTTTACAAATTTGTGTTGATGTAATTTTTAGGTTTTCTACCCAGGCTTTTGGGAATTCATTGTTTATATTTGATTCAGTCATGTATGCTGATTGGATAGTGTCAATTTATGCTTGGTCTTCAAAATTTTCATTTTTCTTTCTGAGATTACTAGAATTTACTTATAACATTTTCATTTTTGTTTTGTTCTTATTATCATGCATTGATCGTTGTATTAAGAAATTATAACCTGAGAGTTAAGAGAAGTCGAATGACTGTAGAGTTTTTCAGGGATGATCACGAGCGTTATGCTCCATGTACCTTCTGAGGTTGTTCTTTTGTCTGATGGGCATCAAGTATTGGATGAATGGATTAATGGTTTAGGAAGGAATTGACTGCAAACCTCAGGCTATGGGAGAAAAATGTTCATATTGAACTTACTGGTAGATAAGGTGCAAAGCCTATTTTTGGTTTGTATGCAGTGTGTACGAACAAGGAACTTTTTTAATGTTCAAACATGAGTTTTGCTATATTTGCACCATTTAAATGACAGATTTTAGTTCTTTGGATGCCAATTTTGTTGTTATCAGTAGAACTTTCGCGGAAGAGCTTTTTCTTTTTCTATACGGAATTTATTGGCATAGATTTGAATAGATAATGGGAATAGTAGGTTGGGAAAGAGAGGCTGTAGAGATACGACGTTATTATTTGTAATAACTATTGAAGAAAGATTGCTTGTTTGATGGATCAAGCTGAATAATAACGGCCTTCCTCTTTATGCATGCTCTGAATTAGGTTCTATGTGTTCATTCTAGACTTTGCTTGGACATGGTAGTCTTGGTTTAAACTTTTCTTTTCTTGATGCTTCTTATTAGGGCTTTGAAAGATACATTCTTGAACTGAGCTAGCTGCGTGCATTAGATGATCATTCTGTTCATTAGACGACTACAGTGGTTCTTTAGATATATGTAATTTGTTTGTATGAATAATCAGTCTTCACCACTGATTTGCTCTTCAAAAGTTTTATTTTATTGTTTAGATTGTTATCCTTTGTTGTTTTAGACAATTTTAAGCGCAGCCATCTTACCTGTGTTTGCATTTCTTGATAACAAATGTGATACTTCTATTAGATGTTTATAGCTGAGCGTTTGAATTTTCTTACAGTTAACTTCCTACAAATCTCCTATGTATTTAACACATTGTTAACATGCTTTAGAACGATGAAGATGGAATGATTTAGGAATTCTAAAGTTAATGAACTGCTTTAAAAGGTTATACTGACTTTGATTGCTTTCAAAGTATCATACAACAGCCTTGACTAGGCCTGAATGGAGAGATTTCTCTTAAAAACGTTTACTCTTAAGTTAGTGCGAGTTCACTCAGTCTCTTTCAATTTCATGTTTTAAGTAATGTCCCCGTGCCATGCTTATTAGAATGAACTTTTTTGCTTTTTCAAAAAGCTCAATCTCTTAAAATGTTACTTCCAGCCTTGCAAAGGAATTCTACTTTTTGGCCCCCCTGGCACTGGCAAAACGATGCTCGCTAAAGCTGTTGCAACTGAGGCAGGTGCAAACTTCATCAACATATCAATGTCAAGCATCGCTTCAAAAGTACTATTTCCTTTATAACTCAACTTTTTTTTTTTTTTGTCAAGCATCGCTTCAAAAGTACTATTTCCTTTATAGCTCAACTTTTTTTTTTAAATTTCATATTATTGATTATAACTAACCTTTTCTTCTCTTTCAGTGGTTTGGAGAAGGAGAAAAATATGTCAAAGCTGTTTTTTCATTAGCAAGCAAAATTGCCCCAAGCGTTGTTTTTGTAGATGAGGTATGTAAACATAATAAATGTCATTTGCTTCTTCAGGTCCTTTTTATTGCATGCATTTAGATGTCATTTCAAATCAGCCCGAGTTAAGTCCACATTTTTGCATAACTTTCTTTTCCAGGTTGATAGTATGTTGGGCAGGCGAGAAAATCCAGGGGAACATGAAGCCATGCGTAAGATGAAAAATGAGTTCATGGTCAACTGGGATGGACTTCGAACAAAAGATAAGGAGCGTGTGCTAGTCCTCGCAGCAACTAATAGACCTTTTGATCTTGACGAAGCTGTAATAAGGAGGCTTCCACGGAGGTAGAAATACAAAAAATCTGCTATTGTGTAGTTTTAGATGGTAATCTTGAGTAAATTTGTTTTATGCTTGAAAATACATTGTAGGTTGATGGTGAATTTGCCAGATGCCGCAAATAGGGAAAAAATTCTTAGGGTCATATTAGCAAAAGAATCTTTGGCAGCAGATGTTGATTTGGAGGCTCTTGCAAATATGACTGATGGGTATTCAGGAAGTGATCTGAAGGTCTGTTAAAATGAATTTGCATGGTATTGATCCATATGTATATGAAGGAGGTGGTTTTTTATTCTTATTTTGTTTCTACTTTCAGAACCTGTGTGTTACTGCTGCACACTGTCCAATTAGAGAGATCCTGGAAAAAGAAAAAAAGGTCAGTGCTTATCGCTTTGTGCAAAAAATGAATTTCACATTGCACGATCATTTTCCAAATTATAGAATAGGGCTCCTTCAATATAAGGCTCCTTCAATATAAGGATTCGCATGATCAACTCCAGATATGTGCTGCATTGTGCCTTTATCACTTAGAATACAAAATAGAAAGACTGCAAAATTTAAGTGACAAAATTATTTCATTTTTTTGTGATGAACCATGCAAAATATAAATGATGAAGTACTGAGTATCATTCCTCTCAATTTCTTATGTGCTCACTCCTGGTTCTTATGTTAATTCTTGAAGTAGTTTCATCTACATGTGAAGCTCTGGTTGAATGTGAGACATCTGTAGGAGAAAATATGGCTTGTCCTCATTTGTAAAGACATCTTTCAATGATTTAAACCTTCTAGTATAGGAATTTAACAGAATTTTTCATTTCATGTTGTACCACTTGCATCTATTGTACGTTATATATTGTTTCATCTTTGAAGCTTTTCATAAGTGAATTAAATATGTAATTCTGCAAGCAAGTGTTTGATTGTTATTGTTTGTATTTAATTAATAATTTTTTATTAATACTAAATAATATTAGTACTTTTCCATTGGCGGCTTTCTTTCTTAACCTTTTTTCCCTTCTTCAGGAACAAATTCTTGCTATAGCGGAGAGTAGACCATTGCCGCCGTTGTATTCTAGTCAGGACATACGTCCTTTGAACATGGATGATTTAAGATATGCTCATGAGCAGGTATTCTAGCTAGTTCTTTTGTTTTTGCTGATACCCTCCCAAATCCATTATATATGCTCTTTTAATTTACAAGCCCCTTTATTAGAAATAATGGTCTAATATAAACTGCTGGCTTCATGCATATAAAATGTTTTTGTTGTCCCTTTTAAAATTGTGAGCAGCTTTTATATTTGAAATTATGCGATCGTTAATTTTGTTTGTCATCCTCTCATTCATAAATTTTTAAATTGGTATCTAGAATGATTGGTACTTTGAAGCAGAAACACTATCAAATGGGCTCCCATTTCTGTGTCGTGTTGGACATAGCTCCAATATGTCCTTGCATGTTTTTGTTGTGCCAAAAATTGTCATGGTCTTTTAACTATGAAATTAAACTCTGAAACTTATCAAGTGTGGCGGAACATGGAGTGGAATGTTGCTGACATGCGGTACAATTTAGTTAGTGGTTCGATATTTGAAACTATAAATTGTAATTATGAGAGTTTCCCTAGTTGTGTATCGTTTCCCATTTGTTTCTCGTGTCATCAGAATTGAATATGATCTCACTTCTTCACCTTGGTTGGTGCTAAAGGCTTTGACTCTACCTCTTAGAATCTAGCACTCTACCTTCAGCAAAGTCCAAGGCTTTGTCTTCCCCTCTTTGTTCTCGTATTTTCCCCTTCACCATGTGGACAATCCGATGTCAGTATTAGGATGAGGCTTACTGGTTGGAAGTTAAACAATATTTTTGTATTAATATTTTTTGTATTTACAAAAAATATGAGAGGATGAAACAAGATCTTTATGGCTATATGTTATCATATTAAGCAAAATAGCAGTGCTTGGATTGGGCGATAATATGGAATTTTAATACTACTCCTGTAAAAGAAATTTCGAGGGAACATATTATAGTGTTGGAGCTCACTTGCTTAGACAAGTTGGGGCTACATCCACAAATTCAAGAGGTTCAAAAACTAAATGCTGAAGTAGAGCCAATAAAAATAAGAAAACTTTCGCTTTTAAGAAGGCTCCTCTTTTTTCTCCTCGACAGGGTAAACTCCAACCATTATTGTAGCCCATAGTCAAGTGGACATTTATGTTTGGATGAAGGATATAACCCTAAGAATTTGTTGGGCTCTGATGCTATTTAATGAGCATTTAATTTATAAGTTAGAGATTATTTACATGAAAATTTTCTACATGTTTAATTCGGAAACCCTGATTTTATTTGACAAAAAGTCCCTATTATCTTATTGATTTCTCATGTCCTGCCAACAATACAATTAGTAGATATATTACTCTTGTTCGTAATCTTTTGAGGACAACACTCCCTCGGAATGGAAAGAGCAAATGCTAAAGAACTGCTTAGACAAGATAATTGGAAACTGGAGTTATCATTTTTTGTAGCGGTTAGATTGGTACACTAAGAAACCTCTCATTAAGTTTTGGGTGTCAAAAAATAGGGCCTATATTTATAAATATCATTAACTGTGAATGAGCATATCAAGATAAATTTTATATTGTAAATCACTTTATATTAGCCACTATGAGAGTGGGTGCAAATAGTGATTCAAATAATTGTTGATAATCTACATGTGTAGAGCTGTAAGAAACTCAATTGAGACTTCAATACTCGCATTTTTTGGACTGTTAATGTTCCATTTTTTGGATTGTTATTGTTGCTTACATATTGAAATCATGCATGGAGTATATTTTCTCCCAAGAACATAGAAGATAATAAGTTCACTTATGAGGAATGTAACTGGATTATTTTAAATGCAAGTGATGTCAACTTTATAAAAACATATATTATACAACCATAATTCACTCAGGGTCTGTTTGGGTCAGCTGCAACTTATTAAAAGACATTTGTGAAGCTGTTGAATAATAATCTGATGCTAAAAAAGCTGTGATGGCTATTTCATAAGCTGTTGAATAATAATCTGATGCTCAAAAAGCTGTGATGGCTATTTCATTTTTTTTTTAATAAAAGTCAGGCCGCAGCTAAAAAGCTGTCACCGCACTTAGCTAAGAGTGGTGGAAAAATGCAGATTTCAGCTGTAACTTTTTGAACAAGCTGCCAAAATACAATTTTCCCAAATAGACAAAATTTTGGCTTGATGCCGCAGCACCGCTCCATCGCCCGCCCAAACGGACCAAGCTGCCAAAATACAATTTTCCCAAATAGACAAAACTTTGGCTTGATGCCGCAGCGCCGCTCCATCGCCCGCCCAAACGACTCAGTGAAATTGTTAAATTCTAAATTTATTTGAAGCTGAAAATGTTGTTATAGCTAAGACTTGATTTGCATCAACAATCGTTATTCTTAATTGATTTAAAATAAAACATAAGACTGCAGATAATACTGATTAATGATAGATGGAGCATGTAATTGATATATATATATATATATAGGTTTATAGAATAAAATGGATCATATTATTTCTTTACAAATTCGTATGATATATTAAGAGTGACTGATATATATGTCTATTCCTCAACATTTGTATGATATGTGGGATTCTATGATAAAGAATTTGAAAATGAATCTTTCATTAACAGGGTGAGAGACAATGAGGCTTCAATCTTTTATAAAAAAAAATTTTGTTATTCTCATAAAAAAATAGAATAAATGCATTATTCTCTTTCATTGCTTAGCTCACTTTTGAATCCAATAGACTTTTTTTTTTCTTTACTCTTAGTTTTTTCCATTTCAAAATTATCAGTTCGACTTATTTGTAGGTTGTGTGTTATTTGGTCAAAATCGGGTAAAACTCAAGTTTGGTTACTTGGTTTTGTTTCAAAAATGCATTTAATTTAATTTAATTTTTTTAATCTCAATATTCAGGTTTCGATTATTGATTTGGATTTAATTTTCATTTAACAGAACAAACTGAACAACCAAAATTTCAAAATTAAATTCAAGATTCATGAGATTAAATTGATATATTCCTTTAAGGTATGCAAACATAAATGCTTATTTATAACCCAACTCCAACAAACAACTAAATTTCCATTTATTTATAAGTTACCCATTTAAACCAAATTAAATCTTTGTTTGGTTTGTTTGGTTTTGTTAAATTTTGATTGGTTTGATGTTTCTGATTTCTATTGGATTATATCAGGGATTGGCTTTAAGCCCATATCTTTTTGCTTTTGTTATGGATTTTCTTACTAGACATTTATAGAAAGATGAACCTTGGTGTATGTTTTTTGCTGATGATTTCTTTCTGGTGGATAAGACTAGAGAAAGAGTTAAGAAAAAACCTTGAATTATGGAGGTTAAATTTAGAGTTTAAAGGTTTTCGTTTGTGGTAATCTAAAACTGAGCAATGGAATATAATTTTAGTAGTAGTAGATCTGGTAACGCTATTGTAATAATGGATGATCATATCATTTGGAGTGAACGTTTTAGATCTTGGGTCTATTTTTCAAAGTGTTGGTGATATAAATGGGGGTGTTATTAGCCCAATTCAAGTTAGATGGTTGAAGTGGAAAAATGCATCAAGTTTATTGTGTGATAGCAAAGTAAATTTTTATAAGATGGTGGTGAGAGGTGGTGAGACCTGCAATGCTTGCAATGCTTTATGGTGCAGAATATTGGCCTATAAAAGAGAAGCATAAAACTAAGTTAGGGTTGCTGAGCTGAGAATGCTTAGGTGGATGGATAGCTTTACACTTAGAGACAAAATGCGAAATGAATATATCTGTGAATGGGTTGGTGTAGCTCTAGTGGAAAACAAGATTTGAGTGAATCGCCTTTTGATTTTTAGTGAGAAAGGTAGAAGTGGACCTAAAAAGACGAGCATGTTTATAAAAAATGATCCTAAACAATTAGAATTAAATGAAAATGACACTCAATAGTACACAATGGAGAAAAATGATTCTTGTAGCCGACCCCACTTAATGACATAAATGTTTTGTTGTTGTCGTTGTTGATTTGATTTTTTGAATCTTGAATTTTGATTGCAATCGGTTTGACCAATTTGAAAACCAGCACCCATCCAAACCAACTGAATGCTCACCTCTACTTATTTGGTTCATTTATTTATCCGATATTGTGATCATTATGATTCAATAAAATTTCAAGTCGTGATCTAAATAAGGATATGGAGATATCAAATGAGAGGAACAATCCCTAAATTGGCTTTTTCATAACATTAAAGACAAAGCAGACTACAAATTTAAAGTTTTCAAATTCTTTAGATCTCATTATGTTTTTTGTTGCTCGTAATTTCATAGCTTTTAGAGACGCTATATATAAAAAAGCTTGGTGGATGATTTATCCTATCGGTTTTCCATGAAGATGAAGTTTAGATTTTAAATTGTTGGCTTAACTGTGATAAATTTTTTTAATCAATTACTTGAAACGAGACACTACATAGGACACAATGGAGTTAATCAATTACTTGAAACGAGACACTACATAGGACGCAATGGAGCACGTAGTGGGATTAAGGGTTCGTTTGGGGCAGCTTATAAGTACGGGCGGCGTTTTCAAAACGCCGCCGTACCGCTTGGTTCGCGCGGTTCCCCCGCCTA